GCGGCATCATTAGTGTGTTGTTTTTGGCCAAAAATTCGCGCACAAGCAACGATGTGTGAGCATCGCCGTTTCGCGGCGACCCGTCTCATGCCCAAATCATTAGTAAAAATCGAATGGCAATCGATATGTTTAGGTTCTCAGCAACTTCTCTAACGGTGATGCGACGATTAGCCAATACTATTTTCTTCACTTCATCAATGTTTTTGTCTGTTGTTGACGTGCTCGGGCGTCCGGCACGCTCTTCGTCGTTCACATTTTCTCGGCCCTCTGAGAACATTTTGTACCACCGATAAACGTTGCTTTGGTCCAAGGTAGCTTCACCATATGCCACAGTCAACATTCGGAATGCGTCCGCGCACTTAATTTTGTTTTTCACACAAAATTTGATACAGATTCTTTGATCCATTTTTTGGAATAGGCAAAAATCGAAGACGAGCCAAAACACGTCCAAGCAAAACAGCTGTCAAAGATAAACTGAATATTCAAAATGGCCGAACTTGTCGGCATAAGTGAGAGACATGAGTACCAACATAACGCCACAAAAAAATCGAAAATCGAATATACGTAACCCGCGGAAATTCGAAATTCGCGATATTTTTTGAACAGACCTCGTACTTCGTGCGTTCACAATGAATTCTTTACTACATAGCTTGGTACTTACCGTAACGGTTAATATACCCACGACGATCACTAAAGTTTTCATCTTGTAGTATCCTTCAGTGTGTGCTAGAAAATATTAGATGCACTGTAAAAGAGGCGTTTTATAGATTATTTTGCATTCAAAGTGCAATCTATGTTTATACGGAATTTGAAATGTCGTCACCATTCTGACGTCATAATTATACATAATTTACATACTACATATGTAATATGTTTATACTGGTTAACCTGATTCTAATTACTGCAATGCGAAGATAATGTTATAAAAAGTGGAATAAGGAAAATACAAGATCACGTAGATTTCACGTGACGCTTGTTTTCCGCAAAAGTCTTATATAATCAGAGTTAGAGAGAAACGCGTATTTACAAGGCTGTTTCAAGTTATTTTAATTATGATAATAGCCTAGTATGACGTTATTATTTTTTTACATTAGTAACTCTAATAATAATGGTAATAATAACGGGTTTACATTCTTGTGTAACATTGACGAATATGATAGCAAGTTTTATCATTATTTTCCGTATAAAGAATATATACTCATCGAACGGGTAGCGCCGAATCGTAAAGAAAAATGTTCAAAACTTGACGATGAAAAATAATAGAAATTATAACTTGTTATTTCTAGAAAATAACAATAACTGTAATAAGTTATTTTGCACAATAAACAACGGTAAGGAATTACTTTTCCAATAGGTAGCAGTAACAGTCATGAGTAACTTTTCGAAAATAAGTTTTTTAACCCTGAATATTATGTGCATAATATAGATAACACGCGCGTTAATTAATGCCGTTTAAAACATCTCGATGTGCTGCAGTTAAGTTGGAAAACTCACGAAGAGTACGCGTACAAATTATTAAGTCGGCACAATTTGGTAAATTAATTTGACAAATTTATTTAATATTAAATTATTCTTCACCAAGTCCTGACTAGAAACACTTTAGTAGTTATGTTGCATGTTGTTCTATCAGCGTATCTATTCATTAACTTTCTAACGATGTAACCGTTGTCATTACGCGTGGTTGAGCGTGTTTAGTATAACGTAACCAAAATTATTTTGTGAGAATAATTTGAATTGATGCGTTTGACTTTTGGTTCATGTTTTTCATGTGAATTTATTTCTGTTTGTAAATGCACTAATGAGCGCATGGATCGTCAAGCACATTCACTATTTTTCCATTGGATGCAGTGTAGGAAGGTCGAGTATAGATAGATGAGTGTCAAATGCAGTAACGAATAGACAACAGTATCAATATATTTGTAGTTCATTAAGTCACAAACTATTTGCGCTTGACACATGTCATCATTAACAATTGATTGCGCTTTCCTTTATTTAACGTTAGGCACGCTCCTGAGCGTAACAGGTTCACAATTTACTTACGTTTGGCCTTGAAGGCGATTTAACTGTGAACTTGCTCCTGGCTTGCTACATACTGACTTGTCCTACCTTCAGCTGAGCAGGAAAGATTTCACATATACCTGTTACTCGCACACGTGTTGAGACTAATGCGAAAAAGTAGACCAAATATGGTAATAAAAATAATCAAATGTTGACATTCCAACACAAGCAAAAGAGTTATAATATATGTTTCGACAGACACCTTTATTGCGCTGATAAATAGAGCGTATAATAATATATGGAGCTCTTTAAACATGCGAAAGAAGCATCACGCTCTCTTACTTTGTATTGAGGCAACACGTGATCTTGATTGTTCGCGGATTTCAGGCCGCTTCGCGACGCCGATACGTTGAAATTAGCTGAAGGAAATCTAGATAACTCAAAAGAAAGAAAAGAAAAAACGAAAGAAATTCAATCTTGAATAGTTTCTTAAATATGTCAGTTTATTATGTGGCAAACATTTTCACTTTATCGGGCAGAGAAGCAACTTGTATATTGCATCTATCATACATATCTATCATACATACAATTTAACGGAGAAGGATGAAACGATATATAGGCAAAGTTGTACATAATATCTCGAAGAAAATGTACTATAGCGTTTTGCACATGATAATAATTATTGTAAGTTAAATAAATTAAATATAACTTGTACATAATTAATCATAATTGTGTGTACATAATTAAAAATAATTTTTTTTCTAAGAAATTTCCGTTTCGTCTTTGTCCCAATAAGAATAACCTTATGATACATTAAGGTATGAATCACAATAGAAATACATTATTCATTATTAATATATTCCACCAATAGAAGATAATGCGAAAGTCATAATAATTTGTAACAAATATTTATTTATCAGTCGTAATATAAATTTGTCCAGCGATTTAACCCAAGTCAGTTGCATCTCTCTTGTATGATTATATTGTCAATATTATCCGAAAATGTCATTTTAAATAATGCACAAAATAGGCTAAATTGGAACTAATTAAATTTGAATTTTTCGCTAACTTTTACTTCCCGGGTAAATGCTAGCTAACGTTAGAGTAATGCACACGCATCTGTAAAGCAGTCATGAAGTAAAAATGGCCGAGTCAACACAAACAAGTTCGGAGCTTAACAGAAGAATTGCGATTGTCGAAAGTTTTCACGCTGGGGTCGAAAGTCTTACGCGTATTCTACCTGAGATTATGAGGTTCTTCGGTTACCCAAAGTCGACTGTTTACCGGGTACCTCAGAAATTTTCGGCTTCTAAGCAACCCGAGGAACGTTCCTGTGATCCGATAAGGAAAAAACACTCACGTGATAGGATATCAAAAACCGTTGAAAAATTTGGAAAAAGCCCAGGATTTGATTTCAAAGGATGGGATATCTCTCTGAAAATTGGCTTCGATCTTGGGTGTGAGCAATACCACCATGCGAAGAATTGCTGAGGAGGACCTGAGATACACATCTTACGTCATTACGACACATCCGCTCACATGAGCCACTTGGTTCAAAACTGGCTTTCTGAGAATGTAGTATGTTTTGGTTAAAAGCGTTTTGACCTCTAAATAGTCCAGACCTTAATCCATTGGACTGCTACATTTGGAGCGTTGTTGAGAGAGTCAGTAATAAGTCGAGACACCTTAACCCGTTTGCATCTGTAAGCGGAATATTCCGCGCATGACGATCGTCTCCTATCACCGAGCGCGGAATATTCCGCGAGCCGTGACTTTCTTTTATCATCGCTCGCGGAATATTCCACATATTACACAGTTCACGTTTTGTTGTCAATCTGTGAGCATTTGAGCTATTTTCATTGCATTCTTAACAAATTTATGTTAAATAAACTCTACGAACTATTCGGAAGTCATTTACTGTAGAAGTTAACTGTGTACTGTAGAACGAGTGTATTGCAGAAGTTAACGAAAATAATAAAACTGCTGATATACGGCCGCGCTCGGTGATACGGGCCAACCGTCAGTTGAACGCCGCTGATGTCTGAACACAGAAACTTAAGTAGAGTCATGATGCAAATGGGTTAATATGGCATATCTACGGACCGCAATTCAGCAGGCATTTGCAGACATAGACCGAAATCAAATGCAAGGAGCATGTTCTCGCTTCAGACCGAGGATTGAGGCGGTTATATAGAGTGAAAGTTTACAGAAAGTGTCCCATAAACAAAATGCAAGCCATTTCTTGAAAGTTTCATTTATTATTTAATAAACGACTTTTACAGTAAAATGTAGCTTTAGTCCCAATTTATCTGACGTATCCTGTACAGTTTCCTTGGAAAAGAATCTCTGCATTGCGCTTGTCATTTATTTTATCGACCATATATGAGATTAACATACCGCAAATGACAATTTTCATCATTTGCTCGTCGCCGGTGGCTCCACTTTCAATCGCCACAGTAAAAAGAGAATTGAACAGCTATGAAAATTTCTGTTTTTTAAGGCGTATAGTGTATAGTGTATAGTGTATTAAACAGCTTATCAAAAGAGATTTCACACATAATTGTTATTCGCTCTTGTGTTGGGACCAATGCGAAAAAATTGACTAAATATAGTAATAAAAATATCCAAATATTGACATTTCAACACGAGCGAAATAGTTATCATATATAAGCCTTTGGTAGATCCTTTGTCGCGCTAACGAGTAGCGCGTAACAATGTTAACTATTTAATTTATTTAATAACAGTTCAATGATAGCTAAATAGATTATTTAGCTATTATTGAACTATTATTAAGCTATTTAAACACGCGGGAGAAGCGTACATGTTCTCTCTCTCTCTCTCTGTATTGAGACAACACGTGATTTTGATTGTTCGCGGATTTCGGACCGCTTCGCGACGCTGTATTACGTTGAAATTAAGTGAAGGAAATCTAAATAACTTAAAGGAAAGAAAAGAAAAGAACAATAGAAATTCCATTTTCAACAGTTTTTTAAATATGTCAGTTTATTATTTGGCAATTTATCATTTCAGTTTACTTTAACAGGCAGATAAGAAACTTGAATATTGCATATATAGAAATGAACAGAAAAGGATGAAATGATATATAGGCTATGTTATACATAATATCTCGAAAAAAATATTCATATAGTGTTTTGTACATGACATTCAGGTGAGAATTTGCATTACGCTTTTACTGTGGTTATTGGAGGAGAGGCATCATTGGCTCAAGGCACGTGATAATTTTCAACGTCTGCTGTTTACCCGTGATTCCAGTTTGAACAACTGTAAATGAAAAAGAATTCCATAGTCAGAAAAGTTTTGTTTGCTGATATGATGCAATAAAATTTGTCACAATCATAAAAGGAAAAAAGAATAATAGATTACCATTGTCGTAGCACTTGCTGTAAATCATACGAGCTTGTTTTAATTTGTCCGAATCGGAGATCAGGTCTCCAAGTCTCTCTAAAGTTTTCTCCTTCTTATATTCATATTTATCATTGAGGACCTAGAATGAATTACAATATGATATAATATTATATCACGTTGAATGGAAAAATAAGCAAAATTAGCAATTTGTCTCCGCGTAGAAGAGGAAGTGCATTTGTTTCATCTATCACAGAAACTATTAAATTACAGGTACACACGATCTAAATTTTAAATTCTTATTTTTGTACGTAATGAAAATTTATCGTTTAGATAGTTATCTCGGATTACAGCAGAAATTTGCATGAACTGAGAAGGAAATTGTATATTAATTGAAATCNATATATATATATATAAAACTTATTTGTGACTTTTCTCCCGTTGTATAACTCAATGTCACAAAACAGTGACCTCGATTGCTATATTCGCCATATGAATAATATTACAAGAAAGTATATTCGCATCACGTATCATTCTCGTATTACAATTCTCTCTTGTTTGCACTTATTAAACATGTAGAAATATACGACATTTAACATTTGGAATATTTTATATACATATGAAAACACATACCTCTCCATCCCTGACCGTCACACAATATAATATGTCAGGACGGTACTCAGCTGTAAAGCACAAATTACAAATATGATTGCACAATTGTGAGTTACAGATGTGATTGCACAATTGTGATTGCACAGTTGTCCGACGTTTATTTATATGCTATAATTAGCATAAGTTCATCGCCAATGCAATTAATTAATATGACATTATTGTAGCTTCCTTTTTTATCAAAAACATGAAACTCGAGGGTAGCTCGCGCGAAGTAGATACAATCGTTATATAATACAATATAACGTAATTTAACACAAATAATTTTTTAATTCTTCGAAATGAAAGAAATGTCAAATCTTAATATAATTTTCCTACGTAATATTATGAGGTCTCATTATTAGAACGAAAGTTACGAAGAAAGTTATTTTATTTCATATGTTATACTCTTTTGAGGGGAAGGAGCGTTTCGAATAATATTTTAATAATATTTACTCAACGATCCGCCTATTTCTTCGGTGCATTTCTTGGTGTCCTCGTTGTACTTTTGCACGATTTCAGCTTTGAAACCATATACCGCCACCTGAAAGAATTAATCAACATTTTCTATATATTGTTTCGTCTTGCATTGATCATTGAATATATTCGAGACGAAGATCGCTTCAATTTTTAAAAAATTTCAAATTTTTTATTTGCGAAATTTTATTCGTAAATTTTCAATCGGATTACTATCGTATCGTATCAAGAGAGAAAATTCATACGCACACATAATTTAATAATTTAATAATTTAAATAGTATTTTTGAGGTGAACTTAAGGAAACAAACATCTCTCAAGAAGTTCGATATATTTACGATATAAAATGCTGGTGCAGTGAAATTTTTGTTTTACAAAATATGTCGAAAAATCCGAGCATACGTCTCTTTCACTCTGCAGCTGTCAAATTCATAATTTTCAATATTTTTAAGTTAAAAAATGGCAAAATACTGCTGAAAGATCACCCATGTAAGATTACCCCTATAAGAAGACGTAAAAATTCAAAAATTTATTTTTTGATTATTTCAAATGTTTAATGCTCATTTAAGCAATATAAAAATTATTTTATCGATTTGTATTGCGTATGGAGATACAAATCGAGAAGGAAGATCGTGTACTGAAGATAACGTGAGCTCACGTAAAGTTTATTCATTTGCTTAGTTCTTACCGTTTTAACAGCCAGCACACCTATTATAATCACCCAAGTTTTCATCCTAGATTTTCTGAATACGTTCACTAGAATATCGAGTGCGTAGCGAGAAGATCTTTGTCGTATATTGATACCTCGAAGCGTGCAACTTCATATTTATAGGGGCTTGTCATGGCGCAAACGATACTTTTCACGACACAATATACAGTTATTATCTATGTCTCGCTTACCTTGATCTGACATTTTTGTCATGATCTATCTATTTCGATCGATCAATATAAGTACATAATAACACTTATGTTTCAAAAACAAGTATGAGTCTGCAAGAAAAGAAACATGAGATCATTTAGCAAATGCGTGGTATTTATTTACTGTGAAAGTGTAATATACTGTATATAATAAAAATACCATGCAAATTAGTACAGATTGAAAGTATGTGCGGTATATAAATTAGTTGAGACTGACGCAGAGAGCAATTAAACATGGAAAAATAAGTCTGGTTGCATTAATTAGAAAGAGACAACCGGATCGTGATTTGGTTGAAGGAAATAGAATTTCTAGTTATAAGAATCACATTTTGATCATAAGCACCAGAAATTCTGTTTTTTTCAATTAAAACGCATCTATTGTTCCCTTTCTGATTAATGCAATTAGATTTCTTTTCCATGTATAGAAACAAAATTCATATACGTAAGTGTTATACGATAATATAAATTTATATTATTGTAAGTTACATAAATTAAATATAACTTGTACATAATTATAATTGTGTGNGTACATATTTGCAAATAATTTTTTTCTAAGTAATTTCTGTTTCGTTCTTGTCCCAATAAGAATAACCTTATAATATGTTAGGGTATGAATCACAATAGAAACATTATTCATTATTAATTTATTCCACCTTTAGAAGATAATACAAAAATCATGAGAATGGTAATATACTTTCATACTTTTTTAATAATAATTTGTAACAAATATTTATTTATCTGTCGTAATATAAATTTGTCCAGCGATTTAACCCATGTCAGTAGCATCTCTCGTGTATGATTATATTGTCAATATTATCCGAAAATGTCATTTTGTATAATACACAAAATGGATTCCTCTTATGTATTAGTTCATATGCGATATATTTATATACGAGCCAAAATACTTTTATTAAAACATATTTCTAAAAAAGCGGTTTTTGCTTTCCTTTAAAAGAAAATTATCGTTCTTACCAATAAGACGGTTGAACGATCGTTATTCTACATATTTTGTAATCGAATAAATCTTACTACACTTTACGAATAAGCTGAATTTTACGCGCAAGCAATAAATAGACATTCATTTAAATAATATAATTATATTATTGGGAGTACAAATTAATTCGGTCCGTTTTTCTGTGGTCAAAAATGCATTTATTTCAGAACAAAATGAATGAACAG